CCAGACAATGGGAGACTCTACTACTCATTTTGATTAATATAAATTCTTTTAAAATGACAGGTAATATCTTTTTTACCCATTCTACCTATAAAGTGAGCAATCCCTCTTTAACAAGAACAGTTTGTTCTGACCCTATTTCAATCATAGCAATACACACAATAGGTTCTTTATACTGCATTAACACCAAAATGGGAGCGTAATCTAGCCTCTGGCCATGACTATGAAAAATCTGACTCTAAATTCAATAAGAAACAGGAGCACCAACTTAGGCCATGGCTCTGATATTAAAAGAGAAATCTGAAAATTGATGAAAAGTCATTGCCGTTTATTCACTTGCTAATTTATACTTATTTTTTATGTAAATTGACTTTTTAACAATCATCTTGCTTTTCCTGTAGTTTCAAATAAAATGTATTCAACTAATAGAATCACATTTTATTATCTAAATTTATCCTTCATCATAAACCTTGAACATCTAATATATGTCAGCCACAACATATCACAGTTTAAGATTCCAGCCCAAAAGTGTCACAATTTTGTCACTTCAAAATTCCTAAGTCTCCCCTTTCTCTTTTACACCTAGGAACTCCTCCCTGAGCTACTATCTTGGTTCTCCACCCCCACTGTATGTGGGTCCTCAACAGCATACCCCAAAATTTCTCACCTTCCTTCCTATAAATTCCTGAGCAGTGTATTTGTCAGAATTACTTTCCCCACAGGAATAGCTCAGAAGACTTTTTCTTTCATCAGAGAATGAAACATGGGGGTGGTAGGGAAGCTGGGTTCTGTATATATTAAGACCTTTTACATCACAGATAAGTATTCAAAATCCATCTCCTTTGATAAATAGTACTCATTGGATGATCTAATTCTTCAGAATTCTACTTGGTTGATGAGGAAAGGTGTGAACAAGGGTGTGTGTGTGTGTGTGTGTGTGTGTGTGTGTGTGGTGTATCCCAGATCTCTACAGATCTGGTACGACTGGGAAAGAGTGGAGAAAGGACAGTGGCATCTGATAGAAAGGACAGCAATGAGTGAGATTGTGAATGTGAGTGCCAATAGCCTTTCTTTCCAGATCCCAACCCCTCTTTAACTGTCACTTTTCCACCTCAGTACACTTAGACATAACATTATGGGAATCCTAGTGATATCACCTTTCAAATTCATATCAATCATGATATCATGCTTCATGGTTCTGAGACATCATGGGAGGTAAAGTCTTCCTAATTTTTCCCTACTGTCCTAGAATCTACACTCAGCATGGATCTATCTGAAGCTCTCATAATTCTTTTCATTCTTATCTAAATAGTAGCCAACCCACATGTGCGTATATGTGCATATAAAACTGCTTAGATTTTTGTGAGTATATTCGTATATATGGTGTCATACTCCACACCATATTTGCCAACTTGCTGTTTTCTTGTCTTAGAGATCTTTCCATATCAGCATATATTGACCTGCCTTTTTATTCCATAAAATTGCATAGAAAAATCCATATATACCACGTCAATTTAACCATCTTTGAGTGCTAACTATTGATATTGTGATCTTCTTCCTATTAGTGACAATACTGTAGTCACATGCTTGTACAAACTCCTGGTTCAAGAGTATGAGTGTTTCTCTATGGCTAACTTCATATTAGAAATATCTGGAAAGCTTTTAAAAATTCCTCAATGTCTATAAACTGTTTGTATCCAACATGTGATACCCACAGTCTGTATTTGGACACGTACTCATTCAAGGAGTAGACAAGGAAATACTGTGAGAAAAAAAAAAAAAAGATGGCTTCTGGGTGGTCACTAACTCCTTTGGAGCTATGCAATGTCTATACAATTTTAAGAAAATAATTATATGGTTAAAATAAAAACTAAAAGAAAATAAATAAAATACTGCTTCCCATGCTCCCTAAACCTCCCAACCCATCCCAGATCAGTTAAACAGAATCTCTGGGAGTGGAACCCAGACATGACTTGTTAATATTCTCCCTAAGTAATTTTAACATGCAACTAAAGTAGAGAATCACTGCTAAGTATGGAGAATTAGAATTGTTGAGTTGAATGGTATATGCATTCTACATTTTGAACTCATTTTATAGACTGTTAAATACTATAAAATTGCAAATGATGTAAAATCATTACTTGGGCCTAGGTACACTCCTCAGGGTATCTAAATCCAAATACCAGCAAAGGATCTCCTTCTAAGCTGAATGGCATCTCCTACATATATATAGTGGTGTCCACCCCACCTGGCGTGATTGTTTTATTTCGTTTGTATTACTTGTGACAATTTGCAGTTATTTCAGTTAGTTGATTATTGCCCATCACTCACCCTGATCTGAAACAAAACTCTAAGAGAACAGAAAACACATTTGTCTGTTCACTCAGTAATCCTAATGACTATGATAGCAGGACCTAGCACATGATAGGAGGTTAATATATGTGGACTAAATAAATCCCTGTGGTCACCTAATCAGCGATTTAAGCATGGTAGATTCTGATAAGAACCAGTGATTGAAAGGGAAAAACAGTTGTTCTCATTTCCCAGACCCAACATTTCCAAATAGAAATCAAGTGTTTTATCATAGCCAAAAAAGAACCCAAAAGCTTATATTGTCATGTAAGAAATAGATTAATGTGTGACAAATTTTGACCCTGTGGTAAACACATACACACACGTACACACACACACACACATGAAGGTGGACTATGGAAACACCTTTAGTAGTAAATTTGTCCCTTCCTTGCATTCCTGTGTGCTTTGGTAAGCCTCTAAAAGAACCTATACAGCAAATGGTACAGTTAAGCGTGAGGCACTCTTGGAAGATCTGAGCACAAAGATATCAGCTGTCATGAAGAACATGATGCCTCAGCTGTTGCCCTTTTTCCCCTTACAAGCAAGTCTTGTCACACTGTCCTATGAAAAGGGGGGGTCAAGAAAAAATATTTCATTTTGATTTTGATTATCATATTAAATTACTCAGGATCGCAGTTTCAGAAAACTTGTAAGTTCTTTTTCCACATGTAATTTGCATGTAATTAATAATGCCTGAGGGACATATGTATTGCATCCAGTAAGACCAACCATTTCAAAAAAGACTTTAGTATAAATTGTGAGCATTTAAATGTTCCTTCTATGATATACCTGACCAAAACACAAAGACTGTCAACTAAATAAGAATAAGATCTTAGACCTCTTGTCTTTGAGAATTCTGGGTGAATTATTTTTACTCTTTTTAGGTTTTGGGGTTTTTTTTAAATGGATTTTTAAATTTTAGAACAGGTTTAGATTCACAGAAAAATGAAGAGGAAAATTCCTAAATTCTTAGCACTTAATTTACTTTGGGGCATTCATCCCAACTAATGAACAAACATTAATTAATGCATTTTATTGACTAAAATCCATGGTTTAGTCAAATTTCCTTAAATTTTACACAATGTTTTATTCTAAGGGTCCACCTAGACATCACATTATGTTTACTTCTCAGATGTTCCTTGTTTTTGATAAATGCTTCACAATTTTTAAGAGTGTTTGTTTGCAGATTTCAACTTCCAAGTTGAAATCAAATGTTTCAGTTTGGGTTTGATTGGTGTTTTTCTCATGATTAGACAATGTTGTAGATTTGGGGAAGGAGCCTTTCAAACACTCCTACAGCCACATGGCCTCGATTAATATCAACACCAATGTCATGTTCATAGCCTGTACCTGTAGTGTGATATGAGTGGGACATTACCTTCGTGATTTCTACCTTTCGAGCAGAAAATTCCAGCATATATGTCTCTGTGAATTCATAAATCCATGATATGTACAAAGGACTTAGATATATAGAGAAATTAAGCCATTTCCTCCTTAATATGAAATAAATAAATGCTCCTGTTCCAAATATTTTTGTTCATATAATGCTCATATGCATATGAGCTCTTACATATATGCATATGTGAAAAGTTTAAATATACTTTTTAAAATCCCAACCTAGCTACTGGATATTGTTGTTATTTTTTTTACTACATAGTAACTACTCATTAATTAAATGTCTCACAAGTTAAAAGAACAGAAGTAAAAAATGACATATTGATTAATTGCCTCCTTGTGTGAGAGTCCAGGCTTACAGCTGAGAAAGCTGAAGACAAAAGGAAAAACTTTCAAGTTACTCACCAAAATGTGTACCACATTGACAAAATTCTTTTCTCTCTATCTCTCTGGTCATTTGGGTAAATTTAAAAACATATCTATCTTCCTAGTGGGATAAAAAAAAATAATTAAACCTCATGCCATTTAGAAAATAACATAAATAAGCACGTATTTGGAATGACCGCTACTTTGTTATTTAGTAAAAGTTGATTAGCAAGAAGGTAAATCTTGTCATTTCCACCCCATCTGATATTTTTCATTACAGGAAGAAACTTTTTAAAGGAAGTAGTTTTCAATGCTTACTTAACCATACAATTCATTTCAAGTAAAAAGAGAGTCAGAGTTCATGCTCCCTAGGAAGGGGAACCACTTTAAGACTTGATGGACTTTCCTTATACGTCTGCTTTTTATTTTTAAACACCACCACTGCTTTGCTGACCAACATTTTCGTTCAAATGATGGCAAGGAGGAGGAGCATGGGCAGAGGAGCTGGGTGAAAGTTAGTGATACTCCCTGCCAAACTTCCAAGTTGAAATCAAATCCTTCAGTGAGTGTCTTAGGCATGGAAAAAAAAAAAAAAAGATTTATAACTTCAGCAGAACTGTAATTCTATCAAGAAAAAGCATCAGTCAATCTACTTTACTGCCACCAAAGTATCTGAAGCTGGCTTTGTCTTACTTCTTTCTCCTTTGTATATGGAGGTGGGGGAAAAAAAAAAGCAAGAGGAGTTTAAAAAAATTGATGAAGCCCTGACTCTTTAGATGCCATTTATAGTCTGAGCCGGAATGCCATCCCCCTTGACCAGCAAACTGTCCAATCCAGCCGCATGTGTCAAGATTCTATTAGGCACTAGGTGAAATATATATGCAAGTCCTTATACCATTTAACACTCTGGGTCCACCTTCAAGACACTGGGCTGTGGATCAACCCGAACCAACACAAGAATCATTTTGACAGGTTCTTTTAGAGGTGCTCCTTCTCTTTTTTTAACCTATCCTTTTAAACAAAATGGCACCAAAGAAAGATGTGAAGAAACCAGCGGCTGCCGCTGCCCCAGCCCCAGCCCCGGCACCTGCACCCGCCCCAGAAAAACCCAAGGAAGAAAAAATTGACCTCTCAGCCATTAAGGTAACTAAATGGATGAATTGTTTAGTCACTGAAACATCTTTCAACAGTAGGGAACTCTAGGAACCTGCAGACGGCTATATTTTTCATTGAGAGAAATGGCATTACTTAATTGAATTGATAGATTTAAAAATAAACTCCAGCATAAAATTTCAGTAAAATTATTATGAGTGTGGAATTGTATGTGGAACCTGCATATGTTTTATTTTTTTGTTCTCTAGTTTCCCCTTTACCCAAAATTGTCAAAGTGCCATTTAAGGGTGGAAATGTGTAACAGCAAAGTGTGTAAATGTGTTTTACAAATACTTGAACCTGCAGGGTCACTTTTTTTTTTTTTAATTGAAATTTCTGTAGATACTAGATCCCTTACTTTAAATCTCCATCCAAAGTAAAGTTTTAGTCCTGACTTGTTTCCAAAAGTTTAAAAACAGCTGATGACCCTGTTGTCCCGGTTGTGTTTATTTAACAACTGCTTTATTTCATCTGAAGAAAGGAAGATTTTTGCAATTCAACTTAATTTCTCTTTCAGCTTTGCTTAATAAAATTTGATACAATACTAAATGAGATCTCAGTGCAGACAATTATGCATTCAAGTGTTTCAGTGACTATAACGGTCATCTTGTTTATTTATATACAGCATTTAATTCAGGATGTTTTGAGTTGCTTCTAAATGAAACTAACCCCAAAAAAAAATTGTAAAAATTGTTGGTTATGTGGCTTTTAGCTTATGTCTTTGAGCTCCTGCATAGTGATCTTGAACTAAGGAGAATGTGATTGATTTTTGTGTCAACACTTTGCTGTGATCAAAGTTCTCAACTGCCAAAAGATTATCTGCTTTTGGAAAAAGGACGCAATGAATGTGCCTGTTACCTCCCAGTGATGTAATCCATCAAGTGTGCACCGTCTCATTCACTGGGCTCTCATTGGACCAAAAACAGTTTGAAAATCCTCATCTCAAGAACCCAACCTTATATGGAAAACTAATGGGTGAAAGTGCCTATGAGGTGATCTTTTCCCTTAAGCCAAGAGTTCTGTATGTAATAAATCTGAATTGTGCTATCCTGACAACCACAATGCTGACCTAGAAATAAACACATCATTGACCATTTTAGTGTAATCATAGGTATAAAATATTCCTAAAATGAAACTGAATTAACTCACCCTTAACTACATGATGAGGTTAAATATATTCATAAATTCATGGCATTCCTGCCAATCATAAAATTTTCTATTTCAAAGTAGGCGTAGATTATCATACATATTTTATCTTAAATTTGTAGGTATGTGAAGTCTCATATTTGTAAAAACTTGGTGATAGAGTGTAATATTGGTGAGGAACTATTCTTAATGAGTATCCACTTAAGAGGAGACATGCATGTCAGATCTGCTATTAAATGTTTTTCTAGCTTAAGGACAGCATACAAATAGTTCATTAAGAAGAAATAAAAATGCTAATGTCCAGCAATTAATTCTAGTTAATGTATCTTTATAGATGCACACCAACTACATTATATAATGAGTATGATAATACTAAAATAGTTACAAGTGTTCTTATTCTTTGGCTCTCCACTCTATATCATTACAAACATGAGTCAGTGTCAAAGCAATTCCTCTTAACATTTATCATAATTTAAAGGAAAATACCATCTCTTTGAATCTGGAATTACAAGGATCTATAAAGGAAAAACTAATTTTTCTTCTTAAGAAGAAAAAGCTATCACATTAATGAAAGCAGGCATTATTTCTTCCCCAAGCAAGTGTAGAAGAATAAGTAAATAAAAATTTAATTTGGAAGATAAGACATCTCCAAGAAATAGCAAAACATCACTTTTTAAAGAGAGAGTAAACCGATTAGTCGTTTATTGTCAGCAGAGGAGTGATGCCTTTCTGAACCTTGAAAATTAGTTTATCCTTTCATCTATCTGTTGAATTAATTCTAGCGTGAGCTAACTAAGCAAAGAAAGAAATACTAGTAGGGTCTCTGCAAAGATGAGGAGTGCTCCATCTGCACTCTCTCATTGCAGAACCGGAGATGTGATGGATCCTGACAAGTGACACAAACCAAAAAAAAAGAAGTTAAATGAGAAAATCTAAAGAGGAACTTACCTTTATCTTTCATTTAGAGAACACATTCTTAATAGAAAGAGAAAAAAATAATTAAAACCAACTTAAATGACTTCAACAATTTGCACTCATCAATATGAAATCAGTGCATATTTATAGGTATTATAACATAGCCAAGAAGTGTGATACAAACCGAAAACTTTATAAAATTTAATTTCACCCCAGTAGGTAACAAGGCTAATTAAAATGTACATTAAAGCATTTTTGTATTTTGATGCTTTTAGTCACTTAATGATGTTTTACCTCATATAAGTTATAAGCTTTTTTCAAGCAGAGAAATTGAACTTTAAAGAAATTAATAGAGCTGTTATATGTGTTCATTAACTTTTGTAAAACTCAATAAAGAACAAACTTTAATTGGATTTAATTTTTTCATAAATCATAAAAGATTAGAAATTTGACTGTCCTTTAGCATTTGAGTAGCATTAAAATCTAAGTGTAACTGTTTTTATGCATGATGATATTTAACTTCTCCATACAATTTCCAGCTACCACCCACATTCCATATTATAGTATACCACATTTAATAGTCATATATTTGAATCTCCATAAATTCTGAACAATCTTAGATATTAGTTTTATCAATTTCTTAAATGTGTTTTCCTGGTTTGTTATTTATTTAGGACATGTCGTTAGCTGTTCTCATATAAAATCTTTGATAATCTCAGAGGAAATGCTTACTGGATATCCTATCTTCATAGATTTCTATGAGCATCCTTTTCAAAAATCAAATACTACTGATATTTGAACATAAAAGTTATTGTTTTGGTCAGTTTTAAGTGCTATAGAAAATGTTATTTCTGATAATGATGCCAGACTAAGAAAACACAGCCTTACCAAATTTCAAGCATAAGCATTATCACCCAGCATGAGTAGGTGCAAAGACAAGAATTAACACTACAACCAAGTGGAATAATGAAAGTAAGTAATGAGATGACTGTGTGTGTATATTATAAAAAAAAAATCTTTAATGTATAAGTGGGTTTTTTGCATGGTGCATGCCTAAGCTGATATGTCAGGATTCCTGAGGTGAGAGAAATTTGAATCATGTCTCACATTGTACCACTTAAATTTTAATCCTCATATTCACCACTCAGTCAGGTCATTTCTGACCAGACCCTTGGGAGATATTCTACTATTTGTAAAGGTACAAATGCATTGACAGAAGCTCATCAAATAAGAGATCCTATAGCAATAACAACCAACAAAATTTTTATGCATGGAAGATTTAAACTTTCAGTTTAATGGGTAAAGTGGAAATGTAGCATTTCCAATAAGTACATCTACTTAGTGATGGGTGCCCAGTGGAGGCAAATAGTTCTACACACATTGTCACACAGTTGTTTTGGTGTAGGTAGAGGATTGTTTGAATTTGTCTACAAATTCTTTTTTTCTCATCTATGACAAGGCTGACACAAAACCAATCCCACTTAGAAGAATTGTCAGAAAAAGTCAAATGAAGTCATGGTCCATAAAAGACTGAAAATTATTAAGTTCTTCGTCGTATAACAACCAATAACATTGTGAATTTACTCTACATCATGTTATTGTCTTTAATTTTCAAAACATTACACTGAGGTTGTTTTCAGCTTCACTTGGCAAGAAAAGAAACTAAGCCTATGTGAAATTCAGTGTGATGTTCTTGATCAAGTAACTAGTAAGCGGCAGAGTTAGAGTCAAACCTAGCAGGCCAAATCTAATCAGCTGTAGTAAACTACCTCCAGTTTACAAAAAGTTGCTGTCTCTAAGACTATGTAAAGCCCTTTTTGCTACTAAGGGTGTGAGAATGGTTCATACATGCATAGCCTCGGGTAGCCAGAAGAGGGGGTGGCAGGCACACTTCAGAGCAAGACACCAAGGCGTTTCACCCTCACAGTTCCTTTCTCTTTTGTTTTATACAGTTTACCCTGCGCTTAGTCTTTGACTGACAAGTTAGTTATTTTCTTTTGCAGATGGGAGATGAAATACTGGGAACCTAGACAGATCTTAGTCACTTTTCTCCAGCTGCCTGTAGAAGTTGTAAGGAACATGGATATTAAAAAATACTGAGAGAGGGCCTCCCCTGGTGGCGCAGCGGTTGAGCGCTGGGCTGCGAATCTGCCCGCAGCCTCTGCAGCGCCCATTCGATCCCTGGTCACCGGCGAGGGTCCCATATGGCGTGGCAGACCTCTCCTGTCTCACCTGCTGCTCCCTTCAGCAGTGTATTTCGTCAGTCTGCCTGTTCTGTTCCCCGCCCTGGCTCTGGTGAATTCTCTCACCCTCCCGCACTTCTGACTGTACCCAGTGCTTGTATAAATAAATAAATAAATCTTTAAAAAAAAAAATTTAAAAAAAAAAATACTTAGACAGGCATCCCTGGTAGTGCTAGGGGTTAAGCGTCAGCACTATGACGCTATTCCACAGCCACTGCAGCAGGAGTTAGATCCCCAGCCAGGGAGCTACCCACATGGTGCAGCAGACCTCTCCTGTCTCACCTGCTACTCCCCTCAGCAGTGTATTTCAGTCAGTCTGCCTGTTCTGTTCCCTACTCTGTGCCTGGTGAATCCTCTCACCCCCCCACACACACCCCCACCCCCATACCTCTGGCCTACAACCCAGCTCTTGTATGCATAAATAAATGAATATTTTTTAAAAATACTGAGAGCAAGGTGGGAAGGGAGCGCAATGCACTAAGGTGGCAGCCTCAGATGCTTTGGTGGTGGGTGCCCTATGGCCGTAACACTTGAAGGGGAATGGGGGAGTCCTATGATTACAAAATACAAACAACAATGTAAACCAACATTATTTCAATAATTTAAAAAGTGAATAAATAAATAAATACTGTTATGAGTATAGATTGGTGTTGCCAAGGGCAGAGCTAGAGGACATGACTGAAGGTG